CACACACACACACATACATACACACTTTACGGTAGCCTCTGAACAGCCATAACTGTCAGCATATGGTGGTCAAACCCAACTTTTACTTACTCACTTCAAAAACGCAGGCCGCCACCAAAATCGCATGGTTTTAATGAAAGTACGAGCCAAAGCGTAAATATACCCTGAAATAAACGCCGAAATTTATCCCATTCTGGCGGCATCGTGCCTGCTGTTTTATCGACTTCTTTCAAGAGGACCATGGCATCCCCGGTTCAATCCAGTCTGTTTATCTCAAGTCCATCGTTTCTGGCACGATCCCCGGATTCATCGCTAACCGGCTGATTTGGCCAGGGGTTTTGGCATTCTCCCTCAACGTCGATCTACAAAATCTAAACAGACAAAAACTGTTGTCCAACCCCCCACCCCCCACCCCTCTCCCTCTTAGAAATAATATCGCTGCGGACACAAAAGACAACAGCCGAAAAAAAAAAACGTTCAAAGGATATTCAAAGTTTAAAAACTTGCGAATTATACAGGCAAATTACTTTGAAACGCTATTTCAGACTTGATCATCGCCCGAAAAGAGAATAAAAACAGGGGTTTTACAAGTACAGAGTCTCAGAGGGGACGTCCGCAGTGCTTAAAGGGCGTAACAAATGCTCCCGGCCCCGATATCCCGAGCAAATTGAGGCAAAAACAACCATCTCCATTTTCTTGGGGGGTTTTTGGTTGTTGGTTGTTTTTTTAAGTGGTAAGGGGAGGGGGGGGGGTGATTTTCTTTGTTTGTTTTGTTTTCGCTTTGTTTTGTTTTGCTTTTGTTTGTTCATTTAAAAACTTGGCGAAACGGTCTTGAGGATTTGCTACACACGGTGCGACACTCAGTAATGTGTTTGGGGGGGGGTGATTATAGTTTCTTGGCAATCTAAACTAACGTAACTCACTGTCCATCAGTATGTCTGTCGTTCTATCAGTTTATTGTGCAATCAATTCGGCCTTCCCGCCTGAAGGTTCCACCTATCTGAAATGGGCCACGAAGGTAGCATACGAGTTTAAAGACAATGAGGTTATAAAAGACACTAGATTTCCCGTTTTAATATCACCTCTTGAAAGAGTG